AATTAGTTCTGGGTTTGAGTGTGGAGTAGCTGTGTATGATGTCAACCTTCTGTGTCTCAGGATTTTAACCCATGGAAATCGAGCCTGCTTCCCAGGGTGGCCATGAAGGTTCAGGAAGATAATGTACAGGAAGCAGTGTCTTGATACAAAAAGCCCTCATGGAGAGTTAGCGGTTATTGTCCCAGTACCCCACCCGTCTAGGTTATCCGGTGTGACTCTTGACGAATTTCCTCTTTAGGGACGAGTCTTTCTGTAAAGGCCCCAAAAAGTGTATTCCCCTCTCACTCAGCAGTCTGTGTGGAAGCAATCTGAGGCTGGTACGGCATATCCACAGGGTGGGTTCCTGGAAGAATATTAGGGGGTTGAGGGGAACATCTTTCAGCCCAGAGAGGGACAGCCTATCGTAACCGCAGAAACAAAACTACCAGCATCCCTTAAGGGTCTATATGTTGGATATTAGACCCTTATCGGATATGTGGTTCACAAAAATTTTCTCCCAATCTGCAGATTGTCTCTTCACTTTGTTGATACAGTCCTTTGATGAATAAAGCATTGAATTTTTATGAGGTTCTACTGATCTGTTTTGTCTTTTGCTGCTCTCGCTTTCTTTGTCATATCCGATAGACCGTCTTTAAAAACTAGGCTCCACAGCTTTGCCCCTACATTTTCTTCTGAGAATTTTATGGGTTTAGTTTTCACATGTAGGTCCTTGATCCCTTTTGAATTGGTTGCTGTGTATGGGGTGAGGCATGGATCCTCATTCTTCTGCGTGTGGAAATCTGGTTTTCCCAGCACGATTTATTGAAGAGACTCTTCTCTCCCCACTGAATATAGACTTAGCACCCTTGTCCAAAATCAGCTGACCACAGATGTGTGGGTTTACTTCTAAACTCTCAATTCTATTCCATTGGCCTGTATGTCTTTTCCATACCAGGCTTTTTAAATTACTGTGGCTTTATAAATCAGAAAGTGTGAGTCCTCTTACCTTACTGCTACAGCCATCAGGGTCCCTTGTTCTTCCATACGAATCTCAGGGTTGGCTTTCCAGTTCTCTAAAGAGGGCTGTTGGAATTTTAATGGGGTCCTTTAAGGTTTTTGATAGCTAGAGGCAGCCCAGAGCCTCGCTTTAGTTTTCTTTTCTAAATATAAAAATTGTAGCTATACCAGCAATTTATAAAGACATTCCCCTTGCAAAAAAATTACTGCACTGCAAATAAGTGCATTAATTTATCTGCAGTGTATTAATTTTTCTTGAAAGACAGGTAGATAAGGCTGAAGTCATTTTTGATGGCCTCCTCATCTATTTGGTGATTTTTTTAGCTTTTTTTTTAAAAAAAAAATCATATTGATAGACATACCCATAAACCCGTTGCCATGGACTCCATTCCAACACATCGTGGCCCTATAGGACAGAAAAGAACTGCCCATACGGTTTCCAAGGCTGTAATCTTTACAGGAGCAGACTGCCACATCATTCTCCCGTCGAGGGGCTGGTGGGTTCAAACTGCCACTGTCGGTTAGCAGCTGAGCGCTTAACCACTGCACCACAAGCCGTTCTTATTTGCGTGTGTGTGTCACCAGAGGGAAAAAA